TTCGATCAACAACTCACAAGCGGCGAAGCGCGTCGGCATTTTATACTCTTGCCGTCGAATGTTCTAGCGTTATAGCTGGCGGTGGCGTAGGTTCCAGAACAATCTGTACCGTTCGCACAGTGGGCGTGATCTTATCGAAATGATCTACTACAGTCTGGAACCTTCTCGAAAACTGCAGGCGCGGTTTGCGCTGAGAATCGTGTGGTGTTTTGGGACGATAACAAAAACTTGGGAAATGGAACGTGGCAATATGATTATGAGAGACGCCGTAGTGGAGGGCTCCGGAAATTTCGACCACCTGGTGTTCTTTAACGTGCACCCAAATCTGAGCACATGGGCCTACAGCAGCAAACTTACACATTGCGTCCACAGGTGGCCACTGGCACGACGACAATTCCCATTGTTTTTTCCTCTCATTTCCTGTGATCTTCAGTATGACAGGCTTAAACTTCAAAGGCGCTGACTTACACATACACTTCTCTCATTTAAAAAAGCCACCGATAATTCACGGGTAGTAACTGAGGGCTAAAGGAAGGTAATCCCATAACTTTTGAATAGTCCCAACTGGCTGCGAACGCTGAGCTATTAGTCGCTATAAAGCTTTTTTGAGTGTCTTAAACAGAAACATTTACACTTTCAGGGAGTTATTTGTGTCTGAGAATTGTTGTTTAAGAAACAAAAAACAGCACATACAAGCGCTTTATGACCAGACAAATTCAGTGATACACTTCCTATCTACGCTTTTTGGATCACTTGTTATCTATCTGCACATGACGACTCTGAGTACAACACGTAATAATTGTCATGTCAAGAATGAGACAACAACAATGTGATGCTCCTTCAACGAGTCACATGTTACTTGCTCAGAAGAAAAATAAAAAAAAAACATTAATACAAAACTTCAAAACCCTCAAGCGTGCAGCAAGTAATTATGTTCCTATTCTCACTTTCTCTTTGTTACTCTTTTTTTTACCGTAGACACGCAGTATTGCTGTCAAGAATGTCAAGCTTGCCGTCGTGTAGCAAAGTATTAATTTAGGCGTCAAACGGCATTTGCTGACCTGAGTGTACCGTCGTAAAATCAGGCAAAATAATCTCACCCACTCACGAGTAACTGGAGAAGCGACGTAGAAAATCACGGTGCGACCTCTTTAGCCGCCACTCAAGTACAGACTCTATAGCCGCAGAAAAGCGCACATATAGGCTCCATGATCCATACGCATCACCAGTTCAGTGTTTTATCCGAACAAATATGCCAGGAGATGAATTAATGCTTCTTGATAGTTGGAAGCCTACAACTCAACCATAACTATACACTGAACAAAGGCACTAGCTTAAAGTTTGTGTTTTGCAAAAGAAGCGATGTGCTATTTTCAGTCAGCAAAAACAAAAACAAAATGGCTTGTCGATATGTGTTACGCCGTTTTGTGTCATAATTTTCTTAGCAGCCAATGTTCCGCACGCAGAAGACAAATTGAAACACAGTAACATGAAAAATATTTTACTGATTTATTTTGCGTTTTGTGGTCGTGTGTTTAAAATCAGATTCCGGTTTTCAAAGAAAAATAGATCAAACTATTGTAGTTTCAGTTTCCGCAACGAGAAAACGGAACAAGCGCATTCCGCTTGCCGGTTTGGGGCTTCTTTGAGTAGGTTAACTTGGAACTTGAATTTCGGTTACTTACGCTTCTACTTGGATACCTTCCTGTTTTATTTGAACACGGCTTCATCGCAAAAAAAAAATTTCCACTTTGCTTCTGTTTGTGTTCGAAAGGCAACCTCATGGAATGTGTTAGGGTGTGTGAGCGCTTATGCAAGTTGCGAAGCGTGCAGTTTATTTCACAATTAAGCTGATTTCTAAAAGACGGTAAACGTGCGCACACATAATAAATAAGGGGCCAAGCATCCTAATGAACTTGAATAACTTCCAACCATAGTTGTCTATTCAGCTATCCAACTAATCTAATATTACACTTGTACAAACGGAGTCGTTTGCTGTCGTTCCGTGGAAATTTTGAACTATATTGGCAATGAATATATGCACAAGTGTTAATTCTTACATATGATACACATCTCTAGGGAAGAGAAGTTGGTGAACTAGAAATGTCGTTGGAGCCGATGTTTTTACAAGAGGGCTTGATTTTGTCAGGGTAGCGAGTGCCTTCATTAGCAGGGTGTTTGTGACCGCCTTGTGGGCCCTTCGCCAACCGCAAAGAGGGAAGGGGAGAGGAGAAAGACTTCGCACCAAAGATAAAAAAGAGGAGCGGTTATTTTGAAAGGAAATATCAGCGTGACAAAGGTCTTTGCTCTGTATGAGCATTCGAGTGGCACAGTAAGGGTGGAAAGTTATGGTTTGAAAGGGGGTTGCAGTGCAAAGAGTAAATACTAGTCCTGGTATACTTTCCAGGCGGGCACGGTGTATAAGTGCTTGCTTACCATGGAGTTTGTCGTTTCCCCTTGGCAAAATATCAATGGCACTATTTTGTGCCACCCTTGCGAGGTAGCGACTTTGCCACATGACAACCCGTGACGTAGACAAAAACCAGTGTTCAACCTTCGTAACTGCTCCCGATACTCGCACCCCCTACACACACCTTTATGTGCAACACTTGTTCTCTGTTTGTCAGGACCAGGATCTGGGGATATTTGTGCGTGGCGCCATCTCTCGGTGGCAACGGCTCACTGCCATAATAGAATCGTAAAAAGGCGCCTGAGAAGCCTGGGAAGTTCTTAAAAGCCACACGCTCAGTATTGTGGTACTGCAGTTTTATCAAAATGTTTGCAGTGATTCTTTGATGTAGAGAAGACAAAGTTTAATTTAATAACTGTTTTTTTTTCCGTCGGACATCATTTGTTTGCGCCCTTTTTCCCCTCAGTTACGACTACGTTTTCTTGCCGCCAACGACCAATGGCGCGACGTGTAGATGTCTACAAGCACTGATAGTTTGTTGTAGAAGGGGGCCATAAAAAGATTGGGCTAGGTTAGAGGGTGCAATATGTGCCACTGTGTTTTCTGTGCCACTAGGGCATGCGAGTGCACAGCTGTTCTTTAAGAGGCATTGAGCAGTGTCGGTCCACACTCTATAAAAATGAGATGACACCCCACCCCTGAAAGAGCTTGTACAACTGCCCCCCCCCTTCCCACCTCACCTGAAGAGTGGGAAAAAGTGTTTTGACGTGCGCAAAACAAGACACACAATCCAGGATGGTGGATTAGCCGTGGCCCCTGGGCCCCGAGATAGCATTCGTACACACTAACATTTCTCTTACTAACAGCACCGTTCTCTGTTTTTTACCCTTCCGAGAAAAACTTTTCACTTTTGTGGCTTCAGCTAAAAGGTTGGGAGAGTGTGAAAAAAATGCGTATGCAAAATGCTGCTAAGAGGAAAATTGCAAGACCTTGCTATGCAACTGTCGCTGAAAGTGTGGGTCCAGACACATACCCTGTACAATTTTTCTTTTCTTTCTTGTGTTGTCGTCCCCTGCATTTCTTATTTGGATTGTTACATTTAAAATGGGTGCATTATTCAAAGAGATGTGAGCATTTCAAGATTAACCAGCATACCAATAATAAAATGCGCCATTTCGTTGATTGTTTTTACATAGTGGCAGAGTCCGCGTGCTTAGAACCTTAACGCCCGTTGTAAATCATTGGCCCTGTGCGCCGTTACTGTCCCAACAAGAGTGCCTTTGCACCATTTTCCGTTGCAGAAATAACGAGCATGAAAGGAAGGATGTGTGAGTGCATGGCAACCACCAACCTACGTTTTTCTTTCAATGAATAATGGTTTTCAAACACTCTTCTAACTACAATATAATAAGCAAGCTAGCACAGCAAACTATCGACGTGTCTAACAGTCTGCGCCGAGCCAGAGACCTCGGCACAGTCATGGTTGTAGGTGCAGGAGCGTAGGAATGATATCTATGATCAGGATAACCGCACATGAGGCAATCAAAATAAATGTTCTCTTGAGAGGACTTCTGGGGTACCATCTCTGTCTCTTCTGTCCTCTTTTGGAGCATGCATAGCAAAAAACACAAAGCAAGGAAGCACACACAACTCACTGCACACAATAACGTCCTTGGCGAACTGTGCAGGACATCATTAACCACGCTGTTGAATCTGTTGTCATCTTGAAGTTTCAAATTATATTAGTAAGCCTCTTGCCTCATTTCATATACTTCGGTCATTGGGACTCTAAACAAACCTTGAAAAAAAGGGTACGCACCAGACTTCGATGAAGAAAGGGCAAAGCTTTCGTTTTCTGACTGAAGCGACCATCTTACAGCTTTTCTTATGATACTGCGGCACAACGCTATGCAACGCAAAATAACGTTTAAGCTTAGAGTAACATTTGCTCTTTTCATTGTACACGGAAACACTCTCTTTAGTGCTCCACATAATGAATTCACCTTCAATTCTCTCGATTATCATCATTTCTTCTGGCAGTTTCACCGTGGTGACAAGTCACCACTGCCTGATAGTATTGTATTGGATGAGCTGGATAACATTTATGCTATGGCTATTTGTATATTATATTACAGTCCATCGCGGAGTACACTCACAAAGCATACATGATTATACCTTGGGACGTCGTTCACTTGCACACTATCATTTGTATTTTGGCTTTCGGATGCATCATTAGTACACAGAACAAGAACCGGCTGAAGCGCAGCCAGCCGGATGCAATTTTACTTGTCAGTTCGGGCTCTGACTTCTCCCCTGGCAAAGTTCTTCACTCTTATGCCAATAGCTTAGACATGGTTCAACACAACCAAATCTCAGCTTAACATGCAGTTCCGGCTTTGTTTTCTCACTACATTGTGACATACACTCACGATAAAATGATGGATGTGGTGGGAGAGTGGGAAAAATTAGTCACAGGCGAACTTAAGACATAAGATAGGTGGTGAAATCGGGATATTATCCCTTACTAAGTGAGCAAAACGAGACACAGCAGTGATGAAACGGTCTTTGTGCTCGTGCATTCCTATGGGTCAAGCCACCACTGGCACGCCAGCATGCGCATGCAGCCTGCTCTAGACACAAGTGGTGGCGTAGGTACTGTTCGGCGGTTCCGACGTCAGAGGAAACCACTTGGCCATGATACGAGGCGTGAAGAGAGCAGCAAAGGCTTTGCGGAACTGCCTGCTCATGGAGCAATATAAAATGAAGTTGACAGCACTATTGACCAGCGCCAGGATATCCATAACCTCTCCGAAGTTCATGTAGACGTGCAGAAAGAAGTCATCGCCGAGAATGCCACTGAGAAGGGCAGCTATACCGGACGGGAATTCGGTCACCAGAAAAAGCAGGAGTACAGCGAGAAGCATACGTGTGGTGCGGTCCCGGGCCTCTTCACTGCCACCTCCATGGCCGCTGTGGCCACTAGCCCCTCGCCGAAGGCGTCGCTTGCGAGCCTTAGCTTCATAGAGCACTCGCAGCAGCCCAAGGCTGAGGCCTGTTAGTGCCACACAAGGGACCAGCTTCATGAGGACCGAGTAGGTCCAAAAATTTAGATTTTGCAAGAAAGCGCCATTGGCGCGTGTTATGTTACTAAAGTCGACCTTGTACGATGGTTCCTGTGGCGTTCCTGCCTGGTGCACTGTAAACGAAAGGTACACTGGCAAGCAGCAAAGAGCGCACGACACATATACGCTGACGACAGCCCAGCGAGCGCGCTGCATGCTGCACCACTCCTTGCTTGAGGCCGGGAAGCTGACGGCGAGAAAACGCCACACGGCCAACGTCACAGTCAACCACGTGGACACTGTGTGGAAGACAACGCTCACGTGCGCGTGAACAAGGATGAAGACTGCCGTACCGAAGCTCTGCGTGCGTGTGGGTGGCATAACGTGTGTCGTGATGGTGTATGGCAAGTATGTGGCGATCACCAGCATGTCGGCCACGGCGAGTCCCGTCAAAATGCCGTTCGTTGGTGACACCATGTTGCGTTGCGTGAGGACGATGATGTTAAGCACGTTGGCGAGGATGCCGAACACGCACACAGTCATGCTCAGGTAGCCGTGAAGGTGGCTCGTATACCATGCATGGAAGCGACCAAGTTCAGCGCCGTGGTATGGAAGCTCCTCTTCCTCAAACACGTCGAAGCCAGCGAAGGGCCTACTCAGGTTAGCCTCCACCAGGGAGATGTTTTCCTTGTCCAGATACAGGCCATCCGCTATCTGCAGCATGCTGCTCACGTTCAGAACCTCGGCCATGAGTGCTTTATTTCCTCCTTTTTTCAACTTAGTAATCCACACTTGTGATCACAGGAGCAACCTGCAAATAAAGAAAGATACATGAAGATAGGTTTTTAAAATTTAGTTAACCACACACGCAAGCTTGACACTTTCTTACCATTCAAAAAATTTGATATCTACAAATCCTGCTGGGTTTTTCTAGAAGCACTTATAGATTACCGCTAAGCACCATGAACATCGCTTAAATGTCGCTGTAATGAATCTTTTAGTAAGCTGACCTCTCTTCATCAAGACTGTTGCAGTATGCGCATGATGCAGTAGTGGTGGTTTAGGGCAAAGAGGGGCCCTCATTTCTGTAACCAATTAGTTAACACAGCTGATTGTTGATGAAGGCAGAGGAAACAGTAGTCAAAAACGTTCGACGAAGGAGAGGCCATCTTCTCGAGAATCGAGCACCCAAAATTTCGAAAGCCGAAAGCCAGGCCGGGGTAGAATAACCAGTGAGTGTCCGGCACCTTTGAGGATCGAAACGAGTGTTTTCAGCATTGGAGATGATCGCTCTAGTCTCTTGACTACCGTTTTAGTAGGCAAAAATGCCTTACTTGGGAGCGTTCTTATCTGTGGTTTGTTCACAGTTCTGCAGCCTCAAAAGTTGAAAAGGGGGAGAAAAATTAGGTGCACAAAAGAGGAAAAGAAAAAAAGGAGAGAAGAAGGCTGTTCAGATACTTCGGTGCTTTTGAGAGTGAGAGTAAGGAAAGAACAAAGAAAGTATTAAGAAAGAAAGTAGAGCTCTACTGGCGTGATATATGTGTTTCGTTCACGTTGACAAGGTAAAGGGAGGATGATAGGTGCGGTTTTATTCGCTTAGTCAAGAATGTGTTACATTTTCATAGATGTATTTTGCAAAAAATACAAAGGAATAGGCCTAACATTAAACTCAAACGTAGCTGATTGTTCAATGCGCACTGATATATGAGAGCTTCTTTTGAAATGTGTAATACTTTATGGCAGCTATACCACCTTTTGAGGTGGATGCACCACAGGCGAAACTATATATACCACGTGGATACAGCCGCTTGGCGCTAGCTTCACGCTAAACATTCCTGATCGAACCTTTCACTCTTACCTACTTCGTACCCAACCCAGTACCCAGACTCATTTGCTTTTTGTTTAGGACACCGTTACCCTTCTTGGTGGGAATGCCACAAACGACTGGACCAATGAGGGAAGCCGTTGGTGGCTACTTTGCCCCAAATTGGTTACTTAACGACCCCGTCTGGTGACGAAAATTTCAGGTTGGTGACATAGCTACTTTCGCTACTTTTGAACTTCTGTTTTTACGCATAAACTAGCCATTTTTGAATATTTGCATATAAATAAACTGTTTTTTAACATTTCTCTCATGTTAGCCAATGCGCGCGGCTTCTTTCCCGACATAGTAAAAGCATTGGCAGCGTCAAGTGCACCCAAAGGAGTATGTCGCTTGCCTGTGTCATAAGGAGTTGCGATGTGTCGTGACTGTTCGCAAACGCGTCGTTCGCACACTCCTCACGCAGCCTGTTATGCATTCACTTGCTACACGCAAGTTTATAATTTTCATGCTCTGCGTATGTTCGTACTCGTACTTGACACAAAAAAGTCCACAACAAAACGAAGCTGGGCTGTCATCTCCAACCAGAGCTTGCTAGCTCAAGCTGGAATGGTATTCTGTAAACTCTTTTAATTGAATTCCGTATTTAGATTCAAAGAATGACTGATGCAATGTTCGATGTCCCACTTATTTCTTGGATTGAATGATTGATATCACTCCTCATATGCCAAAACTATCTATGTTTTACATAAACTATATGCAAGGTAAATGAGCTTATTATAATTTATTTACATACTTTCAATTTCTCTTTGGCTTGAAGACCAAACGCGAAGGAAAAAAAATGTACATAATCCTATTTTTATTTAATAGACTTGCTTATTCGAAATGACAATATTTACTGTACATGAATCAAAATGGCTCGCATAACATTGCTTCTGTTGTATTCAGCTACAAATTTGGCAATAAAAATAAATAGCGTGGCTAGTTTGGCTACTTATAGCTTGAGTTTTGGCTCCTTTTCAAATCGGTCCAACGACAGAGCTGGGTCAACCACGAACACTATACCTATCCCTCACTCTGTGAGAAGATGCTCTTTGCAGTACACGACTGCAAGATCAGATAAGTCTGACTGACAGGACCAGCCAGACTACTGTAGTGAAGGGGACCTGGATTGAACGCTCCATCCTTTGGAACTACATGAACGAAGTGAAGTTTTCTGCCCCTACTGCTACCTCTCTTAGCCCACATCACACATGCATTACGTCAAACCGTCCGCCTTGATGATAGATAGGTTTTAATGGCGCCAGGGCCATGTTTGGTCAAAGTACGCCATGCAAAAGATGGAAGAGTGGCGATGATTTGTGATGTAACGATTGAGTGATGTGTGGAGTTTAACATCCCAAAACCACCAAATGATTATGAGAAACGCCGTAGTGAAGTGCTTCGGAAATTTTCACCGCCTGGGGTTCTTCAACGTGCGCCCAAATTTGAGCCCACAGGCCTACACCATTTCCGCTTTCTTCGAAAATGCAGCCGCCGCAGCCGGGTTCAATCCCTCGACCTGCGGGTCAGCATCCGAGTACCTTAGCCACTAGACCACTGCGGCGGGGCGCGATTTAACGATGACATGTAAAGTATATCAACTACGATGATGCAACAGGGCTGTATAAAGGCCTAAAATTGTTCACCTTAGGGTGGACTGAACAGGTAACATATTACAATCCTGTGTATGAGGTGAAATATTTCTCTAAAAGATCAATGCCGATACTCATAGTAATATGAATAAGGAAAAATTTCGGGCTCACATGGTATTTAGCACATTTGCCTAATCAGTGCCCTTGAGCACAAGGGCCTCGAGGCAGGGTGCTGTCTATGCAGCCACAGCAGCAGCGACCTCTGGACGGAGGCCGTGCTATGGGTCACCTCAGATTATAATGTTAAAACCATGTAATTCTTCTAAAAATGCCAACAATGATTTTTGTTTAAACAGTGCATCCCTACCGATGAACATAGAAGGGTGCAATGGAAGTTGCTGTCGGTAGGGCAGTAAAAATGTTTTTTTTTCTTATACCATCGAACTCGCGTCACTGGAAAAGGATGTGGAGAAGTGTAAGTGGTTCGCCACATTTGTCACAGCTGGATTGTTCACCACCAGACAGAAGATATGAATGTGTGCTGTGTGCGTGTCCTATTTGTAGCCTGGTAAGTGTTACTTGTGTGTCGCATGATCTAGATACCGGTGGACAATTTTCAAGTTTGGGTTTAATAACATGTTTATTTTCAGTCTGCCTGTCCCATAGGCACTGCCAATATGCCCTGAGGCTTTCTTTCGGGAAGTCATTCATGTCAAGTACAGGGACAGTCAAATATGCGTTGGTGGCAGCGTTGTCGCACGCGGATACAGCTATAGCTGGTCCGTGGCCACGTTTCCACCAATCTCGCGGTGCCCTGGCACACAGCACACTACAACATACAGTTTCAGTGCATAGATCGTGCATAAAAGCTAGTAACGTGATACAAGCATGGGATTTTTATGTTTTTTCATTGTTTTCAAAGCTGTTACAACACAGAGAGTCTGTGTATATAACCGCGCGTTCTATGTTTAATTATTTGATATGTTTGGCAGCCACAGACAGCGCATGAGCTTCTGCGGGGAAAATGCTTGTTTGTGGATGCAGAATACCGGAAGCTGAAAAGAATTGGCCGACAGCTGCATAGGGCACAGAAGTGAGAGACTTGGAGGCATCAGTGAAAAATTCAGGGCAAGCATATTTGTGTTTTAATTCCATGAAGTATGTGTGTACTTGTGCAATAGGTGCATGTTTCGTCACTTCCACGAGGGATACATCACATTCTATGACCTGCCATTGCCGTGGTGGTAGGTGTGCAGCAGGAGCCATGAGGCACAGTTCAAAAAGCAGCACGCCAGTTATCTTGGCCATGCCCCTCACGCGATGTGAGTAAGGCTGCCTCAACGAGGGGTGAGGCAGCCTTTCCAAAAAGTGCAGGACTAGACAAATCATTAAATATGTAGTACATAGGGTGTTCCTTATCGCCATTCACATTCAGCTAGTAGATAAAAGACATGTAGGACCATTGCAGGCTGAGTGATTACTCATTCGTCTCAGCGTAAAGGCTCTCTACAAGGCTCCTTCCATAGGCACCTGTAGAGAGGCAGATGCCCAGATTATGAACAGGATCCAGAATCTTCATTGCGCTTAGTGAGGCTGAATGATTTACTATTGCTACATAGTCAAGACGTGAACGCACCAGGCTTGTGTACAGATTCATGAGGCACTTTATGTCGCTGCCCCAGGATGTGTGTGACAATACCATCAGAATATTCATTGTTTCCATATATGTATTTTTAAATTGTTTGATGTGTCTTACAAATGTTAGTTTCGAGTCCAAGATTATACCCAGGAACTTATTTTCTGTGCTTACGGGCAGACGTTCGCCTTTCATGACAATCTGAGGATCAGGGCGTAAGCCTCTTTTCCGTACGAACAGAACAAATGTGCCTTTTTGTCGGTTGACTTTGAACTCTCTTTCATCAGCCCATTTGGACACTTTATTTAGAGCAAGCTGGGCCTGTCGCTTCCAGATGCCGAGAAAACACGATTGAAAAGCTATCTGGATATCAACATATGTGAAGCAAAATATGTTACGAGAGTTCATTTTTATAATAAAGAGCGTGCAGCTCAGTACCCCACCCTTTGGTACTCTGGTTTTCTGTACAAATGTTCGTGTTAAGACATTGCCTACTAGAATCCGGAATATGCGA